CTGACTGGAAATCCCCATAGACAGTAAGAATTTTAACTCAGTCTGTGGTTTGCTGTGGTCTCTAATCCCTTCTATCTGTACGTTCTTGACAGTATCAGTCTTGTAAGAAAAGCGTGTTTAGTTTTTGTTGAATCAGACAGAATACAGAGATGCTGTAAACATATAGGAGATTATGTAGGTAGTTAAGATGGATGCGATGTGAATGGTTTTGGCCCATTCTACATATGGTTTTATATCCCATATCCTCCAGCTAGTTTTCATTAATATCATTATTTTACTCTATAAATTCTTTCTATACTTCCTGTACTTCTCAGCTCATGCCAATTAGAGCTCCTAAGTACATGCCCTTCACTTACTAACCTGTTCTCGTGCTCTGGGCTGCTCTCTACACCATTTACAGCTCTGCTCCATCAGCAGAGCAGAGGTAGAGTGTTTCATCTCTACCAGGTTTAACACAGCTGGCTTCTTTTTTGTTCCTAATGATCTCCCTTTTAATATGTCTTCTTAAAATTTGTTATTTCCCACTAGCATTCCTTAACTAATCTTTACTTGCTAATTCTATGCTTGTATTTATTCATACAACAAAATTGTTAGCAAAAAGATTAAAAATGGATGTAGCTGTGATCTAACGCTGCTATAATTCAAAGTGCTTGTTCCCAAAAACATGAATCGTCTTTTACTAGACTAAAAATTGATCTGACATATTCTTCTTTTTCTTTTTTCTCTGCAAGAATGTATACTTTCTATGAAACAAAAATTCTGAAAATTCTGTTTTACAGTTTCTAAAAGGACCTATCAAAATGTTTGAAATAAAACATACACTTTAGGAGGTTTGTTTCAGTATTGCTTTGCTTTATTCCATTTTTTTTCTTTAATTTTCATGCTCTGGCATAATTCAGTAGTCAAAAGCATAACATATGTGTTTTGGCTATATTCTGTCAAGAAATTTCTAAAAAAAATATTTTTCCTTGAAACTTTGAGATTTTGTATAATCAGCATTTTCTAGCAGAAAGCTACCCATCAGAAAGTTTAAATAATTCTAAGGACTGAAAACTTAGCCCACTATTTTCATCATGCTAAGGATGAAAGCAAAGCTTTTCAGGATTTGGTCACACATAGTGGACAAGCTGTTGGAAGGAGGAAATTAATTCCTAATCCTCTTAGTTAATGGATGACTTATTCCCAGGTATATCATCGTGTGTTCTCTTTACAGTATCTAGTTGATGTAATATAATTCTGTTTTTTTCACATTCTTACATTTTCGGCTTGCAGTCCTCATTGGGATGTATACAAATCGGCAAACCTCAGTATGTCAGAAAAGCATGTTGGAGGAGTGAGGTTGAAATAGAAGACAACCAATGTAATAGGTGTAATTATTGGGTAAAGAATTTGAGAAAGAGCTACTGCCTTTTGAAGTCAGAGCTTTGCCTGCAGAGGAAATCCTTGAGAAAGGATCCGAGTAAGCTCTGCAGAGTGAAGAGGTACAGTCCATATAAATACAGTCTCCATCAAAATGCACTTTGAGTGTTGTCAGAAGAGTTCACCGACTCTAAAATGGATCAGGTGGTTATGATGAAGTGTCAGGAGGATATAGGAGTTCTCAGATGTCTTGAGCATATCATGTTCTAATACATAAAAGCATCCAGTTCCACCTAGAGAATGAAGCGTTCATAATTTAATACGATCTGTAGACTGAACTCCGGAGAAGAGGCAAAAGAAGATTCTGGTGACAAAATTGAGTTGCATTTGGTAGCCTGAGACAATTTTAATTTGTGAGGCTGGTGTACTATAGCAGAAATTGTCATTCTGAGCCCTAGAATTTGTGAGACACGATTTTGATAATTTTGAGATGTGCAGATTTTTTTTGTTTGTTTGTTTGATGGAGAAAGCAAGTTTGAGAACAGAAATGCACCATGAACAAATAACATCAGCAAAGTTCTCACTGCAGCCTCAGAAAGAGCATTTATGGTTGCAATAAAATCATAAATGCACAGCATTTGTACTGCTGGTGTAATCTAGTAATCTAGTAGATATATGATCTAATAAAAGCAAAAGTTTAATGTCATTTTTTTAATCTCTTCATCACTTGGTCTGTATCATGGACAATGTTTAAGCACACTTAAACAAGTCTTACATGTGCTTTGTAATTTGCTTTCCTTAACTAAGCAATAATACATTTCAGAGTTAAAATGAAACTAAGATACATGCCTTCCTAAAATTCCAACCAATTGACCTTGTATATTAGTTAAGAATTTATGAAACAACTTTTCCTATTCTAGTTCTGTACAATCTGGTGGTTTGAAATTTATTCATCTGCCATTAGCTGGTTGTCAGGTATCGTTTTTGCCTTATCTGCCTCCAAAGCCAACCTGAATCAGTATGAAAAGGATACCCTAGCACTTAGCCATAACATTAATCTTCATGGAAAAAGGCACTTTGCAGGGAAAAAAAAAGGTGCAGCTTCAAGGTAACAGCAAGACATCAATTTTCTATGTTTGAAATTAACATAATGTTTTACATAATGATCCTCTCTGCTGATCATTAAAATAACATAGTTACCTCGGCAACTGGAACAGTCTGCAAATGTTATGTAGTGATACATAACACATTCTAAAAATACATACAACAAATAAGGTATGAAACATTATCATTTGGGAAAAAACATTTTTTTCAATAAAAATACCTTCTGGTCTAAGCAGATTTTTGTGAGAAAATTTCAGTTTAATGTAACTTTGTTTTTCATCAAAACTGATTTTATTAACTCAAAGCCTGAAGATGTGATGTTGTTTCATTTCCTGACAATGGAAAACAGTAGTTGCTTTTCAATTACAAGTTGTGTTTTTCTTTAAACAATTCAATGGCAAATGTTAAGGAATTAAAATTTATTTCTGAAGCATTCTTTAAAAGCTTCTGGAAGGTATGGTACACCAAATAACTGACTAATTAATTCAATCTAGAGAGTTTAATGCTTTAGATTTGAACGTATCCACTGTCATTGTAGCCCTCTCGTTTTCTTCTTGTTGGTACCCTTGAGAGTCGAACCTGAGCATCTGAGATCTAGCAGGACTGATCATGTATTGACACTGTTCACCTTTTTTCTTTTTCAAGCAAAACTTGATTAACTGTGTTCACAGATCGTTTTGGCTCTCTTAAAACAAATTTTTGTATATTGATGATTTACTGAAAAATTTTACCAGGACTGAGTTACCATCACATCTCCCATTAGAATGGAAACTTGCTCCCAGCTAGGTAAGTTGGTTCGTAACCGGTAAGTTCTTTTTCAGTTTTTCTGGGTATTGAAGCAGCTACATTCATGAAACACCCTCATCCCTCTGCCTTTGCCACTCACTGCCTGCCCTTCTCTCTCCTGGGAATGTACTAAGGAATACTCCCCACTTTCGTAGGATTCACTATAATTTTCCAGTGAAGTAGTGTTAAAACAATCCCTTAGAATTCAGGTTAAATTCAAATTAATATAACTATAATTTGCTCATGTAATCTGGCTAATATCTACAGTTTCTTTCATATGAGATATCAAACACATTGATATTTTTTGTCATTTTTAATGGTACATCTTTGTGTGGGCCTTCATCAGGGTTTATGAAGTGAATCAAAGCATTTTTCAGTGTAGTTTGAAAGCTACTGATGTAGATGTAATTTCAGTGCAAAGGTGTCTGAAGGCTCCTAAGAAATTGCTAATTCTTAATGTATTTGAGCATTTTGATGCTGAAAATCTGGTGACAAGATCACTCTGAGAGAGAGGCTGGGTACGTGTGAGTGGTCCTTTGATAAAGTATTTCTCCAATAGAGACAACAGGCTCTTTACTGTTAGAAGCAGAAGTGGACTCTTTGTTTATAAATCACTTTGCAAATCCACAACAAATAATCTCCTATTAAGATTTATTTTCATTGGAAAATATGTAACAGTAATGACCAGGCTGTGACTATCTTTGATTTAGGACAATGACAGAAAGAGACTGAAAGTACCTTGCATATCTCTTACAGGCTCCAGTTTCTAGGAGTAGGCAACCTGAAAAGATGAGGACAAGGCCTTTCCTCAGATTTTGGTTGTCCATAGTTGCTGTCCTAGTGTTGCTTCCCAAATCCTCAATCCAAGGCAATGCCATGCTACAACTACACAGGATGACATCCAGGCACATGTCTTTCCCTTCTTTTACCCTTGTTGGCAGAGGAAACCTGAATGTATGTTAACTGGGAGATGACTGCAAGGTATTCATTTGGTGCCCTGAGCTGGAAAATGAGTGGAGTAGGCTGTAAGTCCATCACAGAGCGTGCCTTTTCTACAACACAGGCATAATTATCCTGGTACCTCTGAAGGGGGACTCTAGAGGGATCCCTATCATTCTCCTGAGCAGAGGAGAGGTTGGGACATGGGTCCGCGTCTTAAAATCACAGCCTCACACTAAAAGGTTTAAAGCCAATAATAAAGGTATTAATTACACCATCAAATTTTATAACCATTCCTAAGACCTTTATCCTCCCTGACATCTAATGAGAGAGTGCAGGCTGTCTGGGGCCATGATTAGCTCACAAAAAGGAGAGATTAGAGTCTTAGCCATTACTGGGCAGATGGATCATTACACAGAAGCTTAAGCTAAGAAATAAATATTCTAAGACAGTCACATTTCAAAGATAAAAAATATATATAAATAAAGCTTTAAATACCTGTGGAGATTAGCAAGGATCTAACTTTATGGTGTGACAACATACATTATCAGATGATGGAATGAAGAATGTGTAAGGCTTTCACATCTTTTCTCAGTTTTGTGAATCTCACTCTGTCACGATGGGTATTTCTAGTCAAAAGACTGTGGGCCATAGGAATCCTGTGCATAAATATCTAACATAGGAGACTGCGGTCAGGTGACTCATGTACCCATTGCTGGTGATCTAGTATTATTCATACTGTGTTTTCTGTATTTATTCATGCAGCAGTTGTTGGTATTTTTAGGAATACAGAAATAATGAGTACTGTAGGGTTTTGTTTTGCTTGCTTTTTAAAGTTAGAATACAGAAGAGATGGAAATGTTGATCAAACAATTTACAGAGGTGGAAAAATGACAGGCTTAGGTTGAGTAACCAGCTCTTTACTTCACCAGGAAATGATAAGTATTTAAACCTGTATTTTTACAAAAATGCCAGCTAAAAATTACTACATTGTCTGTACCCCATAGTTTGATACTTGGCTGGTTTTACACATTTGAGTTAGTTTGTTGGTCTCAGAACAACTTTTTGAATGGGTTTACACTTTGACATTACATTGAAGGCAGTGCTATTAACATAGGAATATATGCTTAGAGTTTCCAAAAAAATGTATTTCACTCCTGTTCTTTTTTATGAGTAAGACACTTCACCATTTGGAACAAGAATTAATGCAGAGCTGTTTAGAGAGATGGCTGAATTGAGGAGAACTATTATCTGACAGTAGTGTGGTTGGACATGATGCAAAGGAGTTTCTTGCCTCTCAAAAAAAACCCTTAGAATTACTTAAGTATGGTATTATTAAGGTATGCCGTTTGTGTACTGTTTCATAGATTTCTGTACCTGATGTTTGCAACTTCTAACCTTCCCCACAAACTCTGCCTGGAAGTGGATAAAGTCTCAATCTGTTTGTAATGTTTTCTAGACTGTCTACACCCCTAACGATACCTCTGCAAACTTGTGACTCCTAGACTGTATCACAAGGGGTTAAATACCTTAACACCAAGCCCACACGAACTAAATTGGACAATATTCCTGTGCCTGGCTGTCAGAGCAATGAATTCTGAAAATCCTGGAGCAGGAGGTACAGGTATAACATCACAGATTACAGTCGTAACTATGGAAGTGGAGACCACCTTTCCTAGAGTCATGTATAGATCAGCAGAAAAACAGATGGTGGCATACAAGTGGCATACAAGTCTCATGTTGTGAGACTGCAGTGCTACAGTCTGCAGATTTTTTTCTTCTTTCACTGATCTTGTCCATTTCTCCCTTCTCATTTCTTGCTTTCATTGTGCCTTTTTCAAACACGTTCCTGATGGTGTTTTCTCTGTTTTCCTTTTGCTTTCTGTAGCAACCCTTCTTTTCCTCCAGCAGTTCTTCTTTTCCACCTGTCTTGACTGTTAGCAGTTAGTCACATGCAAATTGCTCAAGTGGATCTCTTTATTATTGTTCCAGAAACAGCCAGGTTTGTCATATTCTACAGTACTGTTTTGGTGTATCACATAGAAATCATACAGTGTTAGATATTATCTCTGAAGGCTTCTAACCAAGTAATGCCTACACAGATATAGCTCATATTGCTTACATGATGAATATTAATTTGTATAATATGAACTTTGTCTACAAATTATAAAGTATATATTAAACTATATTATGTGTAGTATTTATCATTGGTGCTAAACATAGAATTGATGGAAAAGGTGAAATAGATAATGTTGAAAATGGTTCACCATTCCATATCTAAAAGTAATGCAAAAAGTTAATGACTCTTTAATAGCTGCACGTGGGCTTTTAATCCTCAATAGAGTTCTTGCTGTGGTTGTGTTTCTAGCATTGGTCTAGTACTACATGCTTTGGAGAAATTCTAGGACTAAAGAGCTCTTCATATTAGAATGAAGGTATTTCTTGCTGGTGATTTAAGGTTTTAAATATAAAACAAAAGTTTAAAATGACAGAACTGGGCGACAGAGCTCCTACAAGCTGCAGCTGGGCTGGCACATGTAGAGGAAAATCCTTTCAGGTTAAAAATAGAAACTTGTTCCACCCGTGGATTAGCTTTATATCTAATCCACTCATGCTCTGGCACATGGCACACTACCTACACACACAGACTGTGTGAGGGTGAGGACAGAGGTATGAATTTACATTAGATGGTATTTCCTTCCCATCCATTTTTATAGTTCTGAACTGAAACAAATCTGGAAGAAAACTGCAACTGTTTTTCAAACACATAATACTAGCCAGTTATCTGCACACTAATGTTTCTGGAGATACAAATCCATCAAACTGTAAACAGTTCGTGGTTCAGACCAGTGATAAGTGCGGGTCAGTTAGTTCACTCTCCAGAATTATCTCTGCTGACTTTGGTACACAGCATATTACACCGAACAACTTGTAAAGTCTATGTCTATTCAATGCTATGGATTTACATACCTGGTTTGTCTCTAAAATGATTTACATATCTATCATTCATGAGAGAGAAACTCACTCATTTCAGTGTTTTCTGAAACATGCTTCTCACTGCATATGTACTTCCAGTATTAACTTAATTGAAAATTGTAAAACTTGAAAAAATTTTAGGATGTTTGATTAGATCAACAGGGGACAGATTCTTCAGAGGCATTATCTGTTGAGTAAGATTAAGGCAAATGCAACATTTAGCACTCCTGTGCAAACAGCAATCCAGCCTTGCTCTTCTAAGCAAACTGCAGTTGAAATCTAATCACTGGTATCGTAGTAAAGATGAAGTTGCCTTCTAGCAATTTTTGCATTACAACTTTATTATGGTGAAAGAAATAAATTTACTTGAGGCCGCCACTGTGATTTATTTGTTGTTTTTAATTACCACTACCCTCACACTTTGGCATTGGCCACTTGCAGCTGGGGGAGAGAGAAAGGGATATGTATAATAGTAGCTGCCCAGTGACATTTGCCTTTCCTCCTTCCAGCACAGCCAGACCATAAATGGATTATTAGTGAAAGAGCAAATAGCCTGAAGCTATTGTAGAAAACATTTGTCCGTAGCATCTCTAGAAGCAAGGGGGTCAACTAAACATGGGAGATTGTAAATCTGCCTGCTGTTGTCTTGGGCAACTTCTAGGTGAGAGCTTTAAGATGGGAAGAGATGCAGCGCTATATTGTTCAAGGATTCCTCTTTCCCAGGGGCTTGCCAGTAAAGACTGCTTTAAACCCACAGCAATTTATGCTAGATGGGGTGACTTTAAAGTTTTGTAGCGCTTTTGAAAGGACAGACTCCAGGCTAAATTAGAGTCAGCATTTCATAAAATACAAGAGATAACAAGTACCCAGAAAACATTAAATTCAAATCTGTTTTTTTCCTTTTTCTTGTAGGATTTTGCAAGAGCATTGCATCATTGCTTTTATGCTTTGTTTGTTTGGGTTTTTTTTAAAAAAGAGACAGTGTATCCTATTATTTGCTTAATGGAAAATGTACATACAGAAGCTAAAAACGATTACATACAACAGCCAAAAGTGATTACATTGTCATTGTGAACAAATGTAAGATACAAGAGATCTGGTAAGCCAAATATTGGGCTTACAATTAGACAGTTGCTACCTTCATTTTAATTATGTTGTTAATGAATCCATAGAAGCCATATGAAGGCAATTTCTAATTTTCCTTTTCAAAAATCATCTAGAATTGGGTAAATGAAGTTGTCTTTGAACAAGCAGTATGCCAAAATCTGTCCTCCACAAGTCATTGAAATTACTCCAGATCCTGAAAGAAAATATATGACTGTTTTATATTAATTTTTATAGTGGAATACAAATGTTATGATAAAACTTTAAGCAGATACTGTCTTTATCTTTAATTTTTAAAAAACGGCCTGACAGCTTAAACATTTTGCCCAATACTTTAACCACCTACAAAGATATCAACCCCAGCAGCTACTGATACAAAACCAGTTGCAGGACAGGGAATTTATTTGCCTGTCCTCATCATTTAGGAATTTACTGCAGTTGTCAATCCTTGTTATCCATCATATAAGAACAAAGAACAGAAGCCAATCCTTTTCCCTTAACTATTTTTCAAGTTAATACATTCTAGTACAAAGCTTTACCTTTAATTTTACGGAAAATTAAACATTCACAAATGTAAGTTTGCCATTCACTCTAAGGAAATGTGATGACTGGGATTTATCCCAGTGAGATAGTTTCATTAGTCAGGACTTAATCATGATTTATTTCAAGAATATGAGTGTATCTGTTGTTTGTTAGCAAGATTAACATAAACTGAGTCCATTCTGGTCTTAAAACAGAGGATTCTTTAAGGCAAGGTCATTGTTAGCCCAGTGTTACTTGCTTGTGTCATTAAAAGAAGTATAAATGAAAAGCATATATTTCTTCTTTAAATGTGAACAATTCTCAAATTAGTGAGACAACAGACTTTTAATAGAAAAAAAATACTATAAATACTAATTTTCTACACAGAGTCTAACATTTTAAACTTTAAGGAATATAATTATACCTAATGCCAGCCACCAGTGTAACATCAGGGGGAATTCAGACATAACTGCAAGGAGAAGAAAAGGAGAAATGTGAATTTTTAAACAATAAGGATGGGGACGTGCAAACATTACATTATGTTATCAACGGTCTGCTTAGTTATACTTATTGAAATTGCAAAGGCATATTTAAATCCTGATCACTCAAGATACTTGGCCATACCATTAAGCTTAGCTTGGTGAGCGATCTCACTGGAAGGCAAATCTTAAACCTAATAAGTGTGTTCTAAATGGAGCTCTTAGGCTCTCTATGGAAGAAATGCCTTTTTTATTACTTACCTGTACATGGTTAAGCACAACAGAGACACCGATCCCCTGGTAGAGTGCCTACATATTGCTGCAATCCAAACAAATTAAGCTGCCTGACATTTTCAGTTTAATGGGTGACGCGGTGCACGACAGACAGGCTGGGGCTGCACGCCGCGAGCTAGCACTGTTGCACAGGGTGCTCTGTCCTGTGTCGGGCACTTGCTCTTGCCTCATGCAAGCTGACCCACATCTCCACTGTATGATCAACTGCAGGGCCATGATATGACCCGATTTTGTCACCTCCCGAAAAAAAAAGGCTGATGAGACTGTGGAGGTAGTAAAGTGAGCTGAGAGGCACGCTGCGTGTGCTGGCAGCTCAGACTCAACCAGCAGAGCTTTGGTTGGCCATCTGAATGAAACAATAACAAATCTGGGGTTATTTGACCATCAGAATGCATCAGCCAATATAATGAGAGAAGATACCTTCCTGTATAAATAATATAAAGCAGTTTTTGTGGTAGCTTTTGTAAATTCCTTGATTTAAATACTTATGTTATTAATAAAGAATACAGTAATTTAAATTCCAGGAAATCAAATTCCTTAGATGAGAAATTATATTTAATTTTTTAAGATGAAGTGTCTGTTGGTCTCTGGCTTAATTTGTCATGGGAACTGAGGAATCCCTGTGTGTATAAAGTGCTAACAGACAAGTGGACAAAGCATTGGAAAATGGAAGATGAATTATTAGGTAGTAAGGAGGCTCTGGCAAGATGGGGTTAAAATATATTTCCTAATCAGCCATAGCAGTATTCTGCTAAACAGCATGAGAAGAGGGAGTAGGTTATCAGGTTGCTGGCAAAAAGTCTTGATGTCTCATTTACAGCAGCTGATTATTTTCCTTTTCTTTTCTTTGAGGGGAAGAGTTTCAGGGACAAAAGATGCTTCAGTGGTAAAATGCTTTATTTTCCTCAATGAGTTTTAGTTCAAATTATCTAACTTTAAAACTTTGAATTGGCTTTGCTGGAGCAAGCCTCATTTTTACTCTGAACTGGAGCTGAATTGTTAATGAGTAGATCTTAAAGTGCCAGGACATGGACAGTTATTAATTTGTTTCAGAGGAAAACACCTTCCAGATGCTGAAATTGTATCTAGGCAGGATCTGTTTCATAGGAACCATTAGATTGTGAACCAAAACTCTGGGGTTTTTATAAGAAAATAGTGTTTTAAAATTCCACAACAAAACCAGAATTGACTTTTAAATGGCAAGTTTTAAATACATCCGTGAGTCAATGGGTGGAAAATATGTATTTATTTAGCTTTAAGGAAAAATTACATTAATCCAGTGATACAGTGGATGAATCATAGTTGACTGGTCCTTCAATTTGTGATACCATGCATGTATTTAGCAGTAAACCTACTTACCAACTGAAGTTATGATGATATGAATAATAGTAACTGTTACAGCATAATCCCAAACCCATTCTTCCACAACCAGGGCAAATAGGAGACCACAAATGAAGAAAGTTGTTTCCAATGAGATCACAAGAACTGTAAGTGAAAATAGGTTATTTATGCAAAACAGTTTTGAAAGGCTTTTTCTCATATTCAAAATGATAGCAAAAGAAAGTTAAAATGTCTGAAATAGCTATGCAAAATTTTTTACAAGTTCAAATATTAACTAATGTTTCATTATAATGTTAATTTCTAATTTTGTCACAGACATCTGCATGGGTTGTATCCTGATTTGCCTATGGACTGTAGAATGTTGTATATTTTATATAAAAACATGAGGATTAACAGGATTATGACCAGTAACAGAATTATGACAAGTTTACATATGCCCAGAGGAGAAATGGCATGAAAACTTTACTTAGAGACCATCCAAAATCTTTGCACGTGGTGCCAAATAGATTTGGTTGATACTGACACAGATCAAATTTTTCTCATCCAAACCAGAATTCTGTAGTTAAGGTTTTACTTGCTAAGAAACTTCATAGCTTTCTCCCTCTCGAATTCATTGCATCACATATATATATATATATATGAAATATATACCAGAATATATATATGTATCAGAACAATTTAAAGACAAGATATACAAGGGGAGATAGAGCAGAGAGCCTACAAGCTGACAAAGGCCATCCATCCGTATGGATCTTATGGTACGTACTACTAGGAGCCTGGCTTTTCTCAGTGCTGATAGCATGGCTGCCACAGCTACCATGCTGTCACTGCGCCTGACGTTCAGCAGCTAGCTCTGTGTTTTGTTAAAATATAAATGGGGATTACCAGCAAAGTGATAATAACTAAATTTTGCTGCCAAAAGAGACTATTAAAGTTATGTGATCAAGAAAATTCCTTCTCTTGGTGACAAAATGGTGCATTTATGTGCCCTGGTGCATTCTCTGGAGCGTGCCGAGCCATGCCGTGCCACCCGCGTCATTTGATGAGCTGTATTTTCTGACACAGCAATGGAGTGGTGCTTAGCTCTCAGCTTATTTACTTGCTATTACAGGTAATGGGATCAAAAGTAATCACTTTTAGGACAGAGTCTGGCTTTTGGCTGGGTGGCTACCTGGGATAGCAAGGGGTTGAATAGAAAATGCATGGTGCCTCTTCTGGGTGTAGTCCTGAGTTCCCATACAACAGGCCATAACTGTGCATTTGTAATTCACATAATTTTCCATCTAGATGCATTTTGTTCTTTTTAAGTACACAGGCACACAAAAGGAACATTTTAATGGAATTTTTTTTTTTTTTTTTTACTGTTGCAGTAGTGTAATATCTAAGATTACTGTAGCTGAGATTGACCATTGTTATTTTTTCACTGTATTTAATTTATACATTTGGCAGCATTTTGTGCCTTTCAATTTTATTATTTTCTTTATAGGGTTAATTAGTTCCTACTATATTATGGATATTTCACCCAGCAGTTTTAAAAAATATGAAAACGATAACTGGAAAAACCACATGTAGTTAGGAAAGTGGGAAATAACACTTCAAAAAATTTAATGTTTGACAATGCATTTTAGTATTTGTAGCTTATTATATTTCATGTTGATAGTATCCCTTTAAATTATGCCAATAATTTAATTATAATTTAGAAAGTATGCTTGGTGTGGACAGATGCTTTGTAAACTTTTTTACCAAACTGTGCCGGTAATGATAGCTCAGTTCTGAGCTGACCTCCATTTTTCATTTGAGGTTAGCTTTTAAAGACATAATTCTGTTTTTAACAGGCTCTGGTGAGACTCTTGAGTAAACTAATTCTCATCTGCAACATCATTCAGAGACCTTCGTTCTGTCTCTGTGCCCACAGACTTTAAACAGATCTTGTTACATTTTGCTATTCCATGTTATTTCATAGGGTGAACAGAAAGGAGGGTGGAATACTAACCAGTTGCAAGGCATAGTTGCTGTCTTTGGCATATAAACATGCTGCATCAAAGTAAATGATAAATTTTTTTGGGGAAAAAAATCATATTAAGATAGAGTAATCACATTAGGGCCCTGAAAAGTAATTCTAATGGAATATGATTTTTTTTTTCCACTGCTACAACTGAAATGTTCTTTTTTTAATCTGAAATCAGTATTGACTGTACAAATATCCATGCATTTTTATTACTCTTTTTAACCTGATAAATTAACCAATTTACTTTTGAGCTTTACTTACTCTACTGACAGATTACATGGTTTGCCTTTGTAAAATAGGTTACAAATATGGTAAAATTTCATGTAATGAAATGTAATTTTTGCATGTAATTTTTGGGGAATGACAGTTTAGGATAAAGAATGTATTTTGAGAGCTTCAGACAAAAGTGCAGAAATTTTCTATTAGGGTATATACAGGTATGTTTAGGGATTGAGCTACAAGCAAACCCTGAAATTTTAATGACCTCTGTATTCAGACATTACCAAAGCAGAATTTCTATTAGTTGAATGTGACCCATTATTCAGATCTGGATCCAATGATTCATAAGAAATTTGCTGCAGTATGAAAATTAAATTTAACAATTTTACAGAGAGCAGATAATTGTTCCACAATGAAAATGAAGCATACTGGCAAAGCAGCACATTTTCTTCAGATGATACAAAATCAGAAGAACGACTCGAGGAACAACCTAACACTTGAATGGTAAGTAGCAATACAGAAATGAGAAGTGCTGGCAAGATGAATAAGTGTTTAAAATTGGGTGTAGTTAAAATACAGAAATCATTAATATTACTAAAACAGCTTTAAAATACTCTCCATAAGGAAGACAAGTTTACATACAGATACAATCTATTTACTTGACTGAGAAATAAAAGAGAAACAGACTTCAGTTACCTAAATAATGTGGGTTAATCCATGAGGGATTTGTCTTAAAATCAAAAGGTGCCCAACCATCCAACATTTTAATCCTGTAGAAATAGAATTAATAAATTTAACCAGACATTTTCAGTAATGCCTTTGTGATTATATGGCACATTATGGGTGCTTTTAAATATGATTTCAAATGGAATACTCTGGGCTTTTACAAGCTCTCTACATCCCATTGCATGTTGTGGTCTTGCCCTTGCAACAGTGTCCATGATCTCCATTTTTATTTAAGACAAGACTGGCACTATACATGCTAATCAACTTCCTAAGAGAATATAATTTGTCTTTTTTATGGACTATAAAATCTTTCTTTTCCTTTTTTAATATCATCTTTGCTCTTACATTCATTTATTTACATGGTGCAAGTGCAAGGAAGTAGATTAGAACTAATATTTTATATTAGTTTTTAGTCTCCATTTGCAAATTTGTGCACTTGAACAAAGGTTCCGGTGCAACAATTCAACTGAATTTGAAAAATATGTTCAGAGGATAACTGGAACTGAATGCCTCCAGTCTGGATGACTCTTCTACAGGTTCATAGCTTTACCCATTATATCCAGTTATAGTATGCTATCATATTAGAACAAAGACAAGGAAATCTTACTTGAATACTGCAAAGCATACAGATAGGACCACATAGTACACAGTGTAGAAAACTACCATGCATATCAACAGGTTCACCAGAACAACCTGCAAAAGGGAAAAATAAAATAAAACCTAATCCTATGTTTACATTAGGTACATAATTGGTAGAAAATAATTCCAGATTTCTATCAACCACAATGTGAAAACAAACAAACAAACAAACAAAACAAAACTTAGAAAATAAAATATTTAGAATTTTTTCTGTTGCAAATTACATAGAAGTTGCTAAAGTTTGGTACATTTCAGCTTCTAAAGTGTGGTTATAATGCATGGTTCTTTTAATCATATATTATTGTATGCCAACTATTTATTGAATCTGTAAGTGCTCAGAGAATGAGAAGCATATTTCTTGACAGTTATTAAGGACACCTTGAGAGTTTAAGATCATCCAGATGCTTAACTAGTTGTTAACCTAGTTTTAGCCTAGTTTTTAACTTAAAGGAAATGCCATCCTTGTAAGTATGTTGAAACTGTATACAAATAAACTGTAGAAAATTGTAAAGCAGTATCTGTTAAGTTTCCCAGCCTCTAGAAAACATGTCACTCTAGTGCTTACTTCCAAAAGTAAGGGTGTAGACAACTTAAAATATTTTCAAAAATTCAATTGTTTGTGAATTAATTCTAAATTAATTCCACCTCCAAAGTGAAAAAAATACCCCTAAAAATCCCAGTTTCATAAAGCAAACACTATCTTATGATCAAATACTGTGTCTTTAAGAAAAGAGGAATGCTATATACAGAATTACACAAAGAAGGTATGTTTCCTAAGATACCTTGTTATCCTTATTTCTTTCATTTCATTTCAGTGTCTTCATTTCTAAACTAAAGTTTCAGAAGCGATGCAGCCAGAGAAAAACCTGCAACTGTCACGTGATAAAGTTCATAGAATGCCTTGAGAGCCTTTCAAGTGAACATATGTCTGATCACATAACTCTGATCTTCTAAACTGGCATCCTGAATTGTGCAGGCCCTAGGACTTGTATTAATTCCTACAGGTATATGTAAAATTATGTTTTGAAGGTTAATACATTTTGGTAATAGTAATAGTCTTGCTTAAGCAGAAAGCTTTAATTTCTGTTTTTCTGTAATAACATTCCAGATGTTTATTTGGGGTTTTATTTTTTTTTAAAGGGAAACGTGGGACATTGGGAATAGACATCTCTATGCGTTGAACTTGAGCAACTGCTTTGGCAATATTGTGTGCTTGTTGAAGAACATGAAACTGGAAATGTTTACTACTGTTGGTAGAGTGGTCAGTAAAGTCAGTTTTTCTTTTCTGTAGACTCCAGAATGTCTTAGATTTTCTCACGCTAGCTAGTGCTTTATCAAGTCATATTTCTCCTTTCCTTTCTTAACTTCTTTGTAGCTTTCCTCTTATATGGCCATTTTCTAAACTCCCAAGTCAATTATTTAATTTTCTTTGTCTATCCTCTCCACTCCACATCTTCTGCTTTTTAATTTCCTCCGAAACAATATAGATAGAAAAAGGTCATGAGAAAGACAGTGACTGTAGAGAGAATTGTCACCAGTTTCATACTGCCCATCTTTAATTTTGTGCTGCATGGTGCTTTAGAATGGAAGAATCTGTGGCTACATTCTTCTTTTTGCTATTAAAGCATTACAGTTTCTGTTTTAGGAGTAGACTGTTGTATAAATTCTTAGTCCATTACTACACATGTAATGAGTTAAGAATTTTTTGCCCTTCCTCCAGTTTGTCTATCAAATATTTGAGACTAGCAATGTGTGTTTACCTGACTTCCATAGATCTCCAGTCTATGATCCACTATGCAATAATGATCCAAGAGGCACATAATTACTATAGTGATTGCATTATTAAGTAAATACACTTGGACATGTAAATATGGGCCCTAAGCCTGCATGTTTTCGTGTGCCCTGCAAGATCCCATGTTGAATTTCCCCTGACATCAGTGGAATTGAGCTGACAGCAGGTGAGTTTGGAAGTTTTGACGTTTTACCAGACTTCTTGTCTATATTGATCAAAAATAAATTTAAAATGGAAAAAAAATGAAGACTAAGATGATGAAATATTTCAAATACAGGTATTCATTCAGAAGTAAATCCATGAAAAGTGGCCCTGCATAAATAAAGTAGTAAAAAATAGAGGACTGGATGCAATTTTTCAGTGTATCAGAATGCGAAGCAAAGAGTATGGACTGCATATAGTGAAGCATTATATCAATGCAAAAGAAGCTAGTGCTTATCTCTTTGCATGGTGACACCATATTTACAACGGGAATTAATTTTAGAAAAAATAGGTAATAACTAATAGAGGAATAGGAGTCAATTCTGAAGAAAGGTAAAAGGAATCACGTGTGTGTGTGTGTTGGTTACAGGGACTGAGGTAGGGGAAATAATAATTGCATATTCATAATGAAAAGGGAAGAGGATTTATTTGGAGAACAACTAAGACTAAATGAATGAGACCTGGAGAACAACTTAGACTAAAGGAATGAAACCAAAACCCAAATGCATAAGATACTGCAAAGTTTAAAAAATCTTATCCATTTTGCAAAGTTTGAAAGAGACTTGCTCATTTCATTTATTTGGTTTAATTCAAGAATTTTTATCAAAACTGGTTATTGAGTGCCCTTATCACTCCTGTGGATTTTGAAGATAAAGTTGGACAATGTTTTTGACAAGTGATTCAAAATTAATAAAAAAAAAAAAAAAAAAAAGAAAATATGTAGAATATTTTTTAAGTCCCCATTTTTAAATTAAAGTCAGTTGGCAGGTATAATTGCAGTGAAAAATGTAAAACAAGCCAGGTCTAAAGTAAAATTTCCATTTTGATTTAGTTTGTTATAATCTGGTAAAAGGAGCCCTTATTCAAGGAAGCAGTGACTCTGAAAAGGGCTGTGGATGAGCATTAGCTCATACTAGCTCATTTTTATGAGCTTCTCTTGCAATATTGTGACACAAAACAAGCCCTTGAGGCTTGGGGTTTTAAGGTTGAAGAATATGAATAGAAATAAGAAAGAAGTATTACCTCTAAACACAGCACTGGGAAGACATACTATTTGGTGCCAGTAATTTTTAAAGTAAGTTAAGAAATTAAGAAGGTGCAGAGAAGAGGCACAAAAGGGAGCTGATGGCTAGAAATGTTTTGGTTGGGTTTGGGGTTTTTTTTTGTGTTTTTTTTTTTTGTTTGTTTTTTTCATTAGGACTACAGCTCTAAAGAGGTCAATCTGTTTAGCTCTGAGGGTTGATTTGATTATGATGGATAAGTACCTTCCCAGGCAGAAAATACCAGGTACTTAAGGGCTCTTTAATCTATCAGAAAAGCCACAAGAAGTAAACAGCTGCAAGTTATAGCTAGACAAATTCAAAAGATGTGTGAAGGACATTTTTAACTGTAAAGGCAATTAGCCAATGGAACAAACTGCGTTTGGAAATAATAGATCTTTCAAGGCAAAACCAGATGCCTTTTGGCTGAAGCTTCACTCAAGCATCTCTAACGTTAGTTTACTTCTGGTCTTGGTTCTTTGACTGGTTGCGTGGTAGATAATGTATTTACAGAACCATCCCACATTGACAGAAGTGTGGATACTGTGAATTTATCAAACTACTTATTTTTATATTGATAAATATTGTAAAGTGCTAAATATTGAATAGTGCATCTATCTCTTGCAAGGAGAGAGATCAAGGAGCTTTAGTTTCTAATGCAATAGGAGAGAAATACATCATGCCTGTACAAACTGATATATGTGAATAAGTAAACATCCAGGACACTCTTTTCTTTTTCCACCACATCAAAACAAAGCCAAGCAAAAACTGAGAATGATTAATCTCTTCAGCCAGGTTGATCTGAGGGTAAATACAGGTTTCCCATTTCCACTGTCTTTAGTCTTACTCTAAATGAAAATTGGCCAAATAACTCATTTGATCCATTCTTTTCCACAGTGTACCCCATGGTCACTGTAATGTTGACTACAATGTCCTATGTAAGTTTGGCAGCCATGCTACCAACCACCCCTCTGAAAGTATTTCTAAGCAGTTTAATCTTTGACACATTATTGGTGAGAATAATTTTCATTCCATTGCTCTGAGCAGATGCACGTTTCCTGTAACTGTCCTTTATCTGCTGCCTCCTTCAAGCTGTATCTGCTCTATATGTAGATTCATACTGTAATAAAAGTGGTGAGACAGGAATGAAGTGAAAATCATAGAGCTGAAGGACGGCTGTGAGCCGATGACTTGTTGACCTCTAATTACAGTAGGTGAATTCCTAGCCTCTCTTGAAGTCAGTGACAAACTTCTCTTGGCATCAAAGGCCTTGAATTTTTCTCTTTGTACCCAGAATATTCTTAGTTTCTCTCTTAGGGATGTAGCAATGTATTAGGTATAGCACGCTTTACTCAGTTGAGTAAGCTAAGAAAATAAATGCAGCTCAGTGCTAAGAATATATTCTTAAAAGAATAACATGAAACAAAAACCCTTTGAAAATTTTTCAGTTTTATCATTTTCTGCTTCATTTTTTATTTGGACTTTCACTGAAATTTAAACTTAAATATTTTTTAAATCTCAGAATATATTTTATTCTCAAACTATTTTTTCCCTTTCTAACCCCTCAAATATTTCCAAGCGAAAACCACAAGTTGAAAAACACAGGGTCATTTATTATATGTTAAAACAACTTAAAGGATTTTAGGAATACACTGGTGTCATTAACTGTAGGATTTTATTAGACACTTCCAAGAAGTATATCTCATAAATGGAACTATGTCACATATCTTGAAATCCTTTTTGTAAGATGTACTTTGCAGTACTTCCTATCATCAGTATAGTACAAGGTGTCCTTTTCATTTAGCTATTTAGTAAGAGAACATTGAAGAACACTCTTACTGTAAGAATGAAAGTAACTGCTTTTTCAAGACCTGAAGTAGCTGTCTAATTCTCTAAATACTACCCGGTGACATACAATACTATACAATCTCAATTTCCTTTACCTTGGTTTCAGCAGTTTTGACCTTGAGAGCCATGGACACATGATGAGCGAAAGGAAGTGCTGTTGCTATATTCCATATGCCAATATCAGCAGGAAGAAGCAGCTGTTTTTCACCCAAAAAAACATTCTCATGGGTGAATATAGGACAGAGTGAGGTGAGTTGATTGGATTAAACTGAATTGAGACAGAAGCCATCTGTGAGCTATCTGTAAGCTGCTGAAGAGCAAAGAGAAAATCCTACTGGCTCATTTAAAGTTCATGCTTCCATAGCTACAGTCAGCCAAAGCATACCATTATAGGTATAACTTGTCTATTTAGAGACAACATTATTAATATTATTTCCTACCTTCTATTTGCTTTTTTCAGGATTCATTTGATCACAGTTCCTTGGGGTTATTATACCTTCCTACTTTTAATTAGTTCTAAAATTTCTAACATTAATTCTATTGAATACAGATGTGGTGTGGTACATTCTTCACAAAGTTCTTTGCGAACATTTTTGTTCTGACTATCACTCTACTACATCAAGTATAATTCACATTAAATTAGGTATAATTAGGTTAAGAAATACCAGACTTATGTTATGACTCTTCTCCTTTTCCTGAACCATATTTTGTTCCTTCAGCAGAGTGAAATTTAGTGTGCTTTAGAGCAGATCCAACTTCTACTGAGCAGTTCCTTAATGGATTTGGATTTGACTTTTTACAGATGCATTATGATTCAGTATGCTTTGTTATTTGGAAAACGGAGATCATAAAAGGGAACGCTTCTGCAGCCGAATGAAGAGTTTTTCTTTTTTGCTAGCACTAATATAACATGTGCAAGTTTCATTAGGGTTTTTATGCCATTTTAATCATACAAAATAAGTGTTATCTGCTTAAAAATATAGTCTGCACTCAGTAAACAAGAGCTTTCACTCATCGATTTGATAGCTCCAGATTGTGAATACTGTCAGGGAAATTACTGGTAGTATTGTATGAAATTCCTTCCTGTGCAAAATGCTAGCACAAAAATCTGTGCATCAGTCAAGTTCTATTTTGAGGGCCGAAGTGATGTCTAAGGAATAGACTGAAACAAAATTTTAAAAACAAATTAATTTGCTTAAAAAGTTGCAATCATCACAAGTAGGGAATTAATGAAGAAATATTGGCTTTAGTAATTAAATATATTTGAAAAGAAACAAAAGGTTTCAAAAAGCATCCTACCTACCCCAAAGTATCAACTGAAAACAGCCATGACCTAAAATTAATTTGCACAATTTTTTCAGTAACTCTAAGTAGCAAGATAACTGAAGGAGTAATGGATTGCATTAATCTAAGACAGTTATTAAACATAGCAAGAGTTCATATTCACTGACTTACTTCTTCAGAAAGAGTCCATTTAACCAGATAAAGACTGAAGATAGAACCAAAGTCACTGAGTCTGACTGAAATGTAATGGAAGCTGTAGGCATGGATTTGTTGGGGAGACTAAGAGGTTCCTCCCATTCCTATTGCACTGCTGAAAACTGTAAATACTCTAAGAGAAATGATAATATTTCTGTTGCATTCTTGCTTCAAGAATGAAAGAACTAGAATCGTGGTAACCCAGTGAACAGGAACAAATCAAAATTGGGAGTGGCAGAAAATGTGTGTGACCCAATATACTGACTAAATCACTCAATAGTGAATATTAATGGCAGAGATGTTGTGTTGCTGTTAGCAAAATGCTGAGATAATGGAATAATCGGGTTTTGTGTTTCTTATTTCCTTCAAATTCTTTCTCACTTGGTCAGCTATAGGAAATACGACAACTCCTATTCAGCAGAAGGAGGCAGAAGACAAGTTTTGATGAATGCTCTATTTTGGTTTCAGCAAGCCCTACTTTTAAATACAGACTGTTTTCTGAAGCATTACACTAAAGATTTTTATTAAGACTATGAGGAAAAATAGTACTCCATTACTTTTGAACCCCTGGAGTTTGTGCTGGTTTGCCTTACAGAAACACCTAGGTAACAGTTACTTTGGTAGGATATTGATACCTTAGCCTCATGTGTTGGAGAATAGTTAATAAATACTGTTATTTGGCATTTGGCTCTACTCATGTACTTTCTTTGTAGTGATATGTAATGTACAAGATTTAAGAGACAGTGACAAAAGCATAAGTGCAGACAGTTGCAGAGTGGAGAGTAATTAAAGACACTTTCAGAAGTGAAATTAAGGAACAGAGCAGAATCTTTTTTAAGAAACTGATAATGGCACTTAGTACTACCCAGGCAATACCTACTTTGTATTTCCTACCTGGGCCAAAACAAAAAGTCACTTTTTAGCAATGAACTGTGAGAAAATTTTTATAAAAGCTTCCTGCTAAGTTTGCTGCCTAAGCTTATTACCTATGGAGGTTTTTTTAGAATGTTCTCATTTAAGATCACAATTTAGAATGCTCTCAAATAATATTGCAAAAATAATTAAAAACAATTTGAAGAAGTATATCATGAAGCAATATTATATGAATATTTCTCATGGAATTTTACAGGTGATTTGTGTTGCTGTTATGCTGATTGTTTGCTCTGTAGCACTGTGCCTTAATAAGTAGAGCTAGAAGACCCAGAATCGCATTTCTTAGATAATTCCAAAACCGAAAAAACCTCTTAAAATCAGGAAAATTACTAAATCCCACAGTATGTTGATTCGTTATCCTGGATTCTTTAAGAAAATACAAAGATCAGCCAACTGGATGCTGTCTAGGTTGTGTGGTGAGAAATTCTTAATTCACTGAAGGATGATGACATCAAAACATGTGTACTCTGTCTCCATCTGCTGATAGGGAGGAACTACACTTACATTGTCTATGAGGATAGGAGAGCTTGGAAAAATAGTTGCCACTATTTTTGTTCTTTTACTGCAGTGACTGGAAGACTGTCAATGTAGCGAAAAGGATTTGATGAAAACGCATTTTTTAAATAAAAAAGCTCTAAAATCTGTTGACTTACAATGTGTTACAACATTAACAATTATAGCTTAATTGTATCCTGTGAAAGACAGCCCATACAGTTTGGTTTTGATCGTATATGCATTATACAGCCTTAATATGACAGCTTGGCTCCCATATGGAAGGAGCTAGAATTGTGAGAGGTCTAGGCTTTACCTCCATGAGGATTAAAGCAATTAGGTTCTTTCTTTCTTTAACCTTGGTTGCAGATGAATAAATTTTGAGGGATAGGAAATCTGAGAATTGGAAGCAGGAATATGCTTTGAATGTATCAGTCTGGTTTAGTTCCAAAATTTGTTGGATTGCTTTAACAATGCCGCCATACCTGATAATATCATGTAAAGAACTTTCAATATAATTGGTTAAATAAGAGGTGAATTTTCGGGACTTTCAGCTCCTGAAAAGTTGTCTCCTTGAATTTCAGTGTAAAAGCTCATGAACTCTAAAATATTCATAGTACTAAAAGAATTAAACTCAAAAATTTGGTATAATACTTTCTGATTTGCAAATTGTAAACGAACTAGATTCTCTTAGAGATAATTAACTCCAATGAGCTATTTGTATCTGAGGAGTTGGCTTAATTAATAGCAAAAATAGTAAACAACATCTTTTGTTTTGTTAACTGACACTGTTGGCTTTGCGAACAAGTTCAATATAAAGCTTGAAAGTATTGGCAAAAAACCCAATTTAGTGGGCTTTATTTATTCAAACTAGAAATTAATTTTATTGTTTGTGAATGGTGTGGGATTTATAGAACTGAAAATGAAATCTTCTGTTTATCCAGAGAGAAGCTATAACACAATTGCAGCAATGTAAACTTTCCACCCTGGCCCCACTGTATGTCTAAGAATCAAGTTTAATTGTCTGTATTTAAAAAAAAAAAACAAAAAACAGTATTAGTCCTTTCTGCTGAGAAGCTTAATGTGCTGATTAACACAAGTCTACATTTTGAAGATATTCTGGCATCTCCACTAGTGTTAGTGGGATTTTTTGATGAGTACAGTGAAGCAATGAAAAAAATCTCTTTAGGACTAGACCCACAAAAACTGAGGAGTGGACTGCTACTGTTAGAGGAAAATGTATTGGCCTGGATCAAACAGTCTGAGAGAGGCAAGGCAATGCTGCTGCAGCTCCGTGCTCCCAGGTCCAAAGAGTAGCAAGGCTGAATTCCCAGTAAGCACACATGCACACAGAGCATACGTATACATCACATGTATGCATCTATATACATATGCACCACACATGTCACAGACAGGCACACAGAGTACTCACACAAACACAGACAGCGTCAATGGTCTCATCCTGCTCCCTTCTCTGGCTGAGTAGGTTGGAGACCCACTAGTGAGAAGATGTATTTATACACAGGTACAAGGTAGGTCCCTCCAGTAGCTGGGTTCACTCAGTCTGCCCAGTAGCTGGCCCGTGGGTTCCAGTCTCCCCAGTTGCTGGGACCTGGACATATAAGCCCCTGAGGCTGCAGCCCCACTCCAGTTGATGGTCAAGACTCTCTCACACACTAACATGCCTTTCCACACTTGTTCCTCTTCAAATCACCTAAATTCATCCTTTTCCAGCCTTTGGTTCCTCCCTAAACATTCCCTAAACAATCCTGTGTGATCAAAAAAGATGTTCTTCCCCCACAGCCGATAATGTGTCCCATCTCCCTAGGCAGTAACCCCCTTAGCCTGAAAGGTGATCCAGAGACCTGCTCCCAGTAGCTCGTTATTGATGGGTTTCACACCTGGGCAACAGGGCTGAGACTTGCCTGGTAAAAACCTGGAAGGAGACCAGACAAGGTGTTTGCTCCTCAGGAGGCTGTAATTCCAGTTCCCACTTGCCACTGTTCACCTGTGCTAGCTACTGTGGACTTGTGGAGATGGACCAGTGGCTCTCCTTGATGAGCCAGAGAGCAGCCCATCATAGTATTATTTGGGCTGCCCCTACAACATTATCTCTCTGTGCTCTTTCTTGAGTGTGCAGATGGACTGGTAACTACATAACCTAACAGCTACCAAGACTGGTTTTCCACCTTTTGAAAATGCCAAAATCTAGCTGACAGGATATAATGAATAATTTTGGAATGGTTGAACATTTTGTGGGATTATCTATTTTCTAATTGTGTTAACTATAAATTTTATATGTTATGTGAAAGCTTAACAAGTAACCATATACTATGTGTATACTAGTGCCATAAAAGTCCTGGGAGGGCTTCTGGGCCACGTG